TTCCTTCCTTCCTTCCTTCCTTCCTTCCTTCCTTCCTTCCTTCCTTCCTTCTTTTTTTTTTATGTATCTGGTTAAATGAATGTTACACATACTTTGAAACTTCTTCCATTTGCATTGGTTTAATCATATTAAACAAATTTGAGCTGAATTCTGGCATTTGTCCTCAATCTAACTTTCTTGAATGTATAAACAGCAAAATATATAACACATATTTACATATATCAATATGAGTAACTAAATATTTGACAGAATCTGTTGAATATTATAATGAGAAATGATTGCCAAAATCGCATAGTTAGAGAATTTGATTTAGGCCATTTGGAAAAGAAGGTAGCAAAATAAGATACTAAACTAGAATGGTAACCTTTTATACCAGATTTTTTCAAACTGTTGCCTTTAAGATGTGTTAGATGGTTCAGAATTCTGTGACTTATAATTCAAATAATCTAGAGGGTAGAACATCTCATAAGTTTGCAAACAGTTAATTTCTAATTGCTGAGATATCAATATGAGCATGAGCCATCTATGGAATGTTATATTTGGTACATCATGGATGATGTGAGGTTAACTTATTATCCTTATTGTGTCTTCTACTGAGATTTACAGCTGAGGCTCTAAATATAGTCCTCAAAGCTTCTTGCACTTCTGTATTTCTGAGTGTATAAATGAAGGGGTTTAAAAGGGGGGTGACAATTGTATTCAATACAGTGACTATTTTGGACAATTCTTGTGACTGCTGTTTGGAAGGTATGACATGAAGGAAAATGGTAGCACCATACCATATAATCACCACTGTGAGGTGAGAAGAGCAAGTGGAGAAAGCTCGTTGACGTCCTTGAACTGATGCAATCCTTAATATTGTAGCAATGATATAAATGTAGGAAATCAAGGTAATCATGCAGGATCCCACGATGACAATCGCAGCAATAATAAACCAGACAATTTCAACTGTGTAAGTACTTGTGCAAGAAAGAACTATCCAAGGCTCAATGTCACAAAAGAAATGGTTGATAACATTGGAGTCACAGAAAGACAGTTGGGTGATAAGGAAGGCTGGAAAAGAAATAATTAAGAAACCACATATCCAACAGCTAAATGCCATTTGTACAGACAACGTTTTAGACATGATGATGTTATAGTGTAAGGGGTGACAGATGGCCAAATAGCGATCATAAGCCATGACAGCCAACAGGAAATATTCTGTACATCCCAGGGAGAAAACAATGTACATCTGTGTGATGCACCCTAGGAATGAGATGGTTTGATTGTGAGCGACAAGGACTGACAAAGTCTTAGGAATACAGGCTGTTGTGTACCATATCTCCAGGAATGAAAGATTGCAGAGGAAGAAGTACATGGGTGTATGGAGCTTCTGAAAGATCTTCACTAAAACTATGATAGCCACATTTCCAATGAGTGTAAGGAGATACATGAAGAAAAAAACCACAAAAAGAGAGATCTGGAGTTCTCGAGATCCAGGGAAACCCAGAAGGATAAATTCCTTCACTCTTGAGCCATTTCCTTCTCGCATCCGTATCAGAACTTTTGCCTGTCAAAAACATCTTAAATATAAAAATCTAGAGCTTGGGAATGTTAACCATTAAAATGTTGTATTCAGGTTTATTTGAAAATATTTCCCATATACTAAACATATATCAATAAATGAATCCATAGATATTACATTTATACCATGTTTTAAATGTTAGTAGTACTTATCCTCTGTAAGTAAGAGAAAGATGAAGGTTTTGTTAAATAAAAAAAATTATATACTGCATCATAATTTAGGTGGGGAATCCCATCAAATATTACTGAATGTGTCCCATCAAATTACCAAGGTAGAATGAACTACCTGTTTTAGGTAACTGGATGCTGTCAATATGTAACAACGACTATACACATAAAGTAGTAAAATGGGAGTAATTTGTCAGGTTCTCTTTCACCATTTGTATCTTTCAAGTCTTGTATTCATTTCATCCCTTTTCTACATCAGTCTGCAAATTTACTTTTTAAAAATCCACGTGAAAAAGTGCATGTATTTAATTTCTATACACGTTTTCTTTATTTTTTGCACAAACATGTTTTTGTTTTGTTTTGTGTCTGTATTTGCATTTTATGTGCACCTTCCCCAATCTTTAGTTATTTAGCCATCGTTTTCCTGATCTATGAATGTATATATCAATATTCTGAATGTTGGAAGGAATATTTTCCCCAAAATTGAAATTTGTTGTTGTTCAGTCATTAAGTCGTGTCCGACTCTTCGTGACCCCATGAACCAGATTGCGCCATGCCTTCCTGTCCTTCAAATTTCAGGAAATTAACAAGAGATTGCCTGCTTTATTTGCTTCTTCATGCAGTGAGTAAATTTATTCAGTATAGCCATCAGAATTCTAAACCAGCAACTGTTTATAGTGAAAGTGTAGCATGAAAACACATATCTTGAGATTGTGCACATTATGCAGAGTTTGAAAAAGAACAACAAAAATCCATCCCATGGATATTGA